GTTTTCTATATTTTTGGTGTGCGTATTCTCCGAAACAATACTGTTAGTTGTACGTAGTTTGCCGCTACACCGACCCTCCTGTTTCTCTACGGATCGTTCGAAGTTTGTCCGCAAAACATCAGGGAATGTACAAACTCTATCAGAAATACACCAGTTGAGTCCGATAAAATAAGCATTTATAGAAACTTTACTGTATAACTATGTGTCTGTAAAAACAAATGGAGTGATATTCGAGCAAAAATGTTCCGGCTCTGTTTCGCGAAAACACGATAAAAGCTTATAAATACTCGACAATAACACGATCACTCCACTGCGGACGAGGACCACTCGACGATCGAAAATTCAGCATAATACTCTCTCGTTTCGCGGTAGAGAATTATCATGAATACGTTTTAATGTGTAATCGTCAACTTTGGATTGGCTTGACGGCACGAGCACATAATTGACCGGTCGATAAAACCATCGCGAGATTGTAATCGTAAAACGAATCTTTCTCTCGGATTGTTGAGCCTTAATTAAATCGTTCTTCGTCTCGTCCCCGGAATAATTCGTTAGCGACGCCGTGTTAATTAGGCAAATTCCGTTAAACAGATTCACGGCGCGTCGTTTCAGCTGAAAATAGAAAGGAAAATCGACGCTGCTTTCCGACGCTTTACGTTTGTTATTAACTCGAAAAGGAAAATCGACGCTGCTTTCCGACGCTTTATGTTTGTTATTAACTCGAAAAGGAAAAATCGTTGAAACGACGAGGGTTCTATTTTGAAATTTTTAGGCTTGTATTTGCTATTTGTGAATATTTTGCTAACGCTTTATCTAAAAGGGAATTAAATTTTACGTAAAAAAAAGTTTTCAATTGCAAGTAAAAATATTTCACGTGATTCGAAATCCAATAATGATATTTTAAACAATTGTGTACAATTTTTATACTGTATATAAGAACTGTACACAAATACTGGAAAACAATTTCGCTGATCATGCTAGGTTTAGTGTTAACGTACAAACATAATGTCCCACTTTGACTCATTGAGGACGGGTGACGAGATAAAGACGAGAACGTACACAGGAAAAAAAAGCGCCGTACGCAATGCGTGTTAATATGACATATTTTATACTACAATCGTGACGCAATGTCAATATCCCTCAAGAGGTTAATACAAAGACCGCCATTTTACGAGTGATCTTCAAACAGTTTTCACTTTAAAAAATCATCTTCAGTTTTATTACGTTGAACGATAAAAGAAAGCAAACGTAAAGACGCGATCTGCGGTGTTGTCATTTCCGGGTGGAGGGAAACCCTGAATTAATTTGCGAGAGAACGAATCGCGACGACAGAGTTAATAGTTTTCAAATCCCCTCGGTGAATATTCGTTTCGAAGACGCACCCCGCTTATTTGCGAAGCGTCTGTCGCGTTAACAGGGACGAGAGGGTAGCGCCGTCGCCACCGCGGGGGCAGTTTGCTTTCAGTGACATTACAACGACGCTAATGTAATTTGATCTTAAGCAGCGTGACCCCGACCAGCTGCAACCGCTACTTTCATAATTAATTTCGCGTCGTGTAACGGTATCACCTTTTAATTAAAAAGGGAAATCCGGTCACTTAGGGACGATACAACGAAAAACGTTTCTCGGATAACCTTGGGAGTGGAGGAAGGGATGGAGGGTGATGTTATTCCTGGGCAACATTTCAAATGCAAATATCCACGTCGAGAGCAATGCTCTCGGGTTTTGCGCGAAATCCTTACCTAGCCATGAAAGGGATATATTTCCGTACTTGTTCGTTTATCTGGGTAGTGGCGGTAACAGTACCTATCGGATAACGCGCTGTTTATATTATCGATGCGCAACTGCGAGCATAGCTCAGCTTCTTCATTGGTTTAACGGTTCTGTTAAAAATAAAATTAAATCTTGTAAAAAAAAAATAATACTATACTAATATCCACCCTCCTACATCCTGACAGCAAGAATCGAAAGATGAGAATTAATAACTCCCGCTAAAGTATTCTCAGCAAAATCTCATCGAAATAAACCAACAAAATAAACGAAAAATGCATTGAAACGTGCAACTGCATTCTTTGTGAGGTCCCCAAATTGCGAATCGATAATCGACTAATTAGCGTGAAAACTCGACGTAGACGCGACTGTGTTCGCACGACCGTCGATCAGGAAAATTCCTCGTATTGTTAACTCTGTCTCAATTTCAGAGGATAACAAGAACGCATTAGTAAAAAATAACATTTCCAACGGTCTTGGTTACGTATGACGTTCAACAGGCAAGACGCCCCGTGTTATGGTTCTAGATTGCACACGGTTATACATATAAACTCTGTTCGCAGAGCAAACGCGTCGTAACGCCAGTTTCGAATGTACAGAAATCGAGATCTGATATTCCTGTGACGCTTCCGACCATACGCGCAGGTTTACGGGCGCTGTGTTACGAAGGACGTGAATCATTAAAACGGAAGCTACTCACATCAGGAACGTGCTGCCGTTTACGAGTCACTACGTATTCGCTGTATCGATTTTAAAGGGAAAAACGAGAAAAAAAAAAGGGAGGAGAAGAGATCTTAAAGCTCTCTCCGCGAACTGTTATTTCTTCTCCCACGTCGCCGTTTCTTCCTCCCTGATTTCCTGTGGACCCAGGAATCACGTGTCTTCGAGACCCCCATTACGTGCGCTGTTCGAACATCGGTTTCGAATTACACCGGACAGCCGCAATTTGAGACAATCGAAGCGGATCGTGTCTTGTTCTAACCGCTCGCGACGGGTATCGCTTTTAAATCGACATGAAAAATATTACACCCGCGACCGAACCTCGTGAATCGACGCTCTCGTAGTTGTATGGACGCTTGGAATCGGAAATGAGAATATCGAGAATGAGAATGAGAAGGGAGGGTTGAAAGCTGAGAGCTCAAAGAGGAGAGTCGAGAACTAACTCTCTTGTGAATAATCAGTAGCTAGTCGGAATTAGAAATTGTTGGTTCAGAACTGAGTGCTGGGACGTGAAAATTTAGGGCTGAGAGCTCAAAGCTGAGAATCGACTGTTCAGAATGAAGCATTAGAGTATTGAGAGCTCAACACTGAAAATTGAAAATTAGCACTGAGAACCAAATGCTCAGTTTTGCGTTAAAAACTTAGAGAATTAATTAATGGTTCCATCTCGGCAACTTCAGAACATTTTCCATTATTCGTACATTCCCTTTTGTTGTTATGCCAGATAGATATTTCTAGTGGCTCTCTTTTCTTTTTTGGCGTGAGCTAAAAATTATAGCATGTCGCGTCCCTGAAAGGGGGCACGGTATTCTATGGTCGAACAGGTTAAAAATTAATAAGAAGATAGATGTACGTGCTCCAGTTCAATTATTCCACGAGTTATGAGATATTCGTTGCTTCTACATGCGCACAGAATGAGTTCTCCTGCAGCTTCGGGGAGAAGATTGATCGATAACGGACGACTTTAAAAATACTCCTTTTCCCGTATTGTTTCTTTCGAAGCTCTCTCGTGACTAAATTATATCGGCATCGCGGCAGAGAGGAAACCTCGATACACTCGTCATTTTGTGATTGATCATTGCGCAGGAAACATTGAAGTAAAATTGATATTTACGTTTGCAAGTCGAAAAATTGAATTAAAACTGCAGGTGGTTAGTACAAGCATTATTATTCACGATAATTTACGTATATAAATATATGAATATTTTTTAACCGTGGCTATAAAATTTACATTAATTTTAACCATCTACATTTTTCCCTGGATCCCTTTTAAATTCGCGTTTAATCATTTTCGAGATTCCTGCCTGAAATTTCAATTTTCAATAAAACCCATGTGTACTTAGTACTTTTAATATTCACCTACAAAATAAAATAACGCAGGCATTTATTGTTAGTTCAACGAAAATCGATACAGGAACCGAGTTGGAAGCTCATTGTTTGTAAGCCTTCGTGTCACCTCTCATCATAATTAATCATTCATGGGACCATTTAAATAATTATACAATAACAACTATATCGACGTCTATTATTCTGGTATATTATACCACATTATGGAAAATATTCCACAACAGTAACAAAAAGAAATTTTTTTAACGAATACAGTATTGAAGCGAAATTCTTGAGAAATGTGATGCTTTGAAATATTTGAAAACTGATGTATCATGGAATAGAGAATCTCTACAAAGATCAAACCTGGTCCCCTTTAAATCCATGACCTGAATCGTTTCTTATCAATCTTCCCATACCTCTAAACGGTTTCTGGTTTGGGGACTGTGATTCCAAACAGTCTCAATGATACGCGATTTTTTAACCTATTTCATACTTCGAATAATATGAAATCACACGAAAAGAACCCTGGGTTAAGAGGGATTAAGAAAACGTTATCCTAGAACGAAAATGAAATCAAAATATCACGCATACGATATTCAAAAGCCGCGTTGTTCCCTTTAACGTCGACGAAATCGAGCGTGTAATTTCCTAGTAAATGCAGCCATCAATTACCCAGACACATAATTATTTCATAAAGTGGACGATGGTAAATTTCTCCTGAACTCCCCTCGTGCTCGTTACTACGTTACCGTGTAAAAGCATTTTGGCTATTCCGGCGATATCGAAATGATCGAAACCCATTTTTTTAAAATACCACGTAATTATCTCCGTTAAGTTGTGTCTGTATATCTTCCTATTTAGTTGGAACAATTATTTTAATAAGCTATCGAGACTCAATCAATCGCGACAATTGCCAAAGTGCCATGAATTATAAAACGATCTAGGATTTTGTTTTTAAATCAACTAAAAAATAAATTAGCGCTCTTGTAGGGAACACTTAAATAATATCATCTTCCACACTTAATTGCAATCATGCCTTCATCTAAAGTTCAAAAATCCGTGCATTATTAAAAGCTAAAATCCTAAAGCTCCACTGAACCCTGCTAAACTAACTCGTAACTCTTCGATGCGCGAGTACAAGTTCGTTCATGAATAGTAATCAATGAATAATGCTACTCACGTGTGCTGTCGTATTTGATCCCGTTCAGCTCCTCCAGACAGGGCAAGGTGGCCACAGCACCCGCAGGCGTCCTGGGCCAACACAGCAAAGAGTCCCAGCTAACTTCGCATCCCGGTTGCTCCTCCAGCTTTCCAAGGGACAGCCACTCCAGCTCTTGGTGTTGGAGTTTCAGACACTTGATCTCCTCTGCGCTCAGCGACTCGTTCAACTTGTTAATATAGTTCAAAGCGTTCAACACGTGATTACCGGTGTCGTAGTTTGTCCCGTTATCCCGTAGCGAGCCCATGACCGACTGCGACCGAGTTGCCGCGAGAACGTAAACACCACCGTGCCTTTTCCAACCGAGCGCGTTCAATCTCGAAAATTTGAGAGAAGGGGATAACGGGACGGGCCAAAATTTTACACAAACTCGCGCGAAATTTACTGTCGCAAAAACACGGGTGACCTTTGCTTCTTGAGACTTTAGGAAGTTTGAATGGGAATATCCGTTGCTTTGGCCTTCACAGAAAATTACATCAAGATTTTATATATATTCGTTTCATGGAAGTATTTCAAGAACCTCTTTCTCGTTAGATTTTATTTTTGGTTCCGTAAAGAGTGCGATACAACCTCTATTCTGCGCTATGTTAGATCTCCAGATTGTTCCTAACACTTGGTCCCTTGTGTTTTGGCCTTCACAGAAAATTACATCAAGATTTTATATATATTCGTTTCATGGAAGTATTTCAAAAACTTCTTTCTCGTTAGTTTTTATTTTTGGTTTCGTAGAGAGTGCGATTTAAAGCAGGAACCATGCAACCCCTGTTCTTCGTTATGTTAGGTCTCCAGAATTATTAAAGACGCTGAGTGATTCATTGAGACGCTCCTAAATAAACCCTAACTGAGAATATCTTCAAATACTAAATACTCTGTTGACTTTAAATCGATGCTTTCGAGTTGAGAAACCGAATTAAAAACTATTTACTCCTCTGTTTCGATAAAAACACAAACCACCTTTTTACACGGACCCTTTTCCGCAATGTTAACGTCAAGATTTTATACAAACAGTGGAGAGGCGCGAAATAATTCAAATCAAGCACCACATAACTCTACGTTTCGTTCTGTCTAGCCTCCAGAATTATTTACGCGACGTGTCCATTATTTAATCCCACTTTTTCTCTCGCGGAAACACGGATCACCGTTGCGCGTCGACTTTCCAAAATATTAATCTCGAGATTTAAAAGTAACTTAAATCAGGAACTTTACAACCGTAGTCCTCGATATATCTAGCGTCTAAGAATTACTTGCGAGCGTCTCTAGAAGCCACTCTCCGTTACACCAAGTCCCTTTTTGCCGACTATATTACCTATCCCTATTTCCTTCTCCACGAAGAGCACAAATGTGTATCGTGCGAGCACTTTCACCGAAGACAGTCCAGATTTTTCCCGCGGGTCACTTATAAACCCCAAGTGCCCGACTCGGCGAGGCCGGTGCGACTAGGACTCCATTCCGCTCACGTACTCCTAGAAAAGACACGTGCTTAATCCCGGCGGGGTCTGTTTTTTCACTGAACGTCCGACACGCAATTATTTCCCCCGCTTTCTCGAAGAAAAGGCGACCAAAGATATTCTTCCACCGCAAAGGGTACCCTCGAGAAATGCCAGTGATCCCTTAAGACCCTTCGCCATTAAAGGGAGCTAGATTAATCCTTTCAGACTCCTTTTCGGCCTTGTGGCCGAGAGTACCGCTGAGGACCGTGAACATTAGCGAAACTATCGTACCGTATGCTTAATCCTCGTACATACTCCTTCTTCGGCTTAATCTGACCTCCTCTAAAGTTTCCAGTTCATTAAAAATATGCCTGACGATGTATCCCGGCGATTGTTCGAACATTGAACGTACGTCGGTTTAGTGAACAGATGGAACTGTTATTCGACGGGCTCCTTGTGTTCTTATTCTATAGAAGGATTTCATCAGAGCTTCCCGGTGCTCCTAGGCCTCTTCCTCTGAGCCTCAGACACCCGTTAAATTCTCAGAGAAGCAATCGTGTAACTTCTGCGAATGGGGGGAAATTGAAATTGACTTACGACACCTGGAAGCCATTCCCTTTAGGAACGAGGGCTTAATCCGTTTTCGGAGCGTTTCTCATTAATACTTCGTAGAATAATATGCGTTCCGCGCGGTACCTTCCCTCCCTGTGTAATTCTGGTAAATCTTCCTCGGATCCTCTCCACCGTACACTGTCATTTATCAAACGATTATTGTATACGCTCGATACACTTGGAAATGTCACCTGGGGGAGGCTACTGGACAAACTCGGAATGCGGTGTCAGTTATCGAACTACCGTCGACGGGATATCAGACAGCCTCGGCGCTAACAGTTGCAGATGAAATTCTCGTCCATTGTCTCCCGAACCATCGTCAGAACTTGTCTGTAAGCGACGAACAAAGAGCCTCCCGTCGACTTCAATCGCTTTACAATACGGCGCTCTTGAGGCTATCAGAAACTCCCCGAGAAGCCTCCAAGTTTCCGACGAATATGAACGGGGTGTCTTCAATCTTGACTCGAGTCCCTTCTTCCCGACGTTAATTGCTCCTGGACAAAGGTTCTCGTTGCTCGTCCTCTCGATAGACAGGGAAACTCGCATTCCTCCGTAATCACTGTTCGATTGTTTCCGTAAACTCTGCGTCAACTCAGGGGAAACCGTGAAATCCCCTTAAACCTCTCGACGCTTCAGTTCTTTCCGTGTCAGGCCTCTCTACACGAGAGTCCTAACAACTCGTAAACCCAATTTGGAAATCGCGTTTGTGAATCCGTTCTCCAAAGCACAATTTGCAAAGTAATCGTTTCCGTCACTTTGAGAAGCTTCCACGTTCGAGATTTAAGGACTACAGCCGCAAATCCCGAAATCCCCGCGCGGCTTTATGTTGTCCCAGATCCTCCACGAGTACCAGCAGCATTTGAACATTCTACGTTTATTATTCTCAGTGGGACGCGGACTGGTCCTTTATTTTTTTTCTTTCTTTTAGAAATGATCTTCTTATGGAGATTATCCTCGACGTTCCCTTGACTAGCCTGTCGTACAATGTTTGTATTTTCTCGCAGATATCTCGGGAATGTTCACGTGGACTCTGTGCACGTGCCAGGTGACTTCCAATCGCTCTCAATTGCGTCGTAGTTCGACGATGGAGGATTTACGCGGAGCGAGCCGGAAACAAGGGGAACCTCGTCGTCGGGAGGGCTTGGAGCGACTGCTTGTCAGAGGCTATCTGTCTACCGGCGAGCGGTGACACGCGACTGCCAGCGGCACGTGCTCCGAACCAGCGGTAGACCTCCTTTCGAAGAGGACCGGCGCGTAAGACTCGTTGGAAGCTGCGTGGCGACTGTCCCCGTGCCCGCTGCACAGAGACGTCCTCGCCTCCTCGCCGAAGTCTGTCGACGGACGCAGGAGAAGGTGCACGGCCACGATATGGATTTTCCCCTGCACCTGGAGCCGACGTGGGTAACTGGCCAACCTGCGGTGCGTGCACGAGGAGGAGCATGCGCCACCATATTCTCTTTCTCCTCTGGGAACGTTCTCTACCACTGCGTTCCCTGGTTTGCCTGGTTCACCTGCGTTCAGTCACCTTCGAATAAATGTATTATACATGTAAAATTGATTTTTGTTAAATTAAAATAAATAATAGTATACGATAATCTGAATCCAACTAGTAAGTAATACTTTCTATTTTACTACAATTTCCTATTTCATGCAAAGGGACCACTTATCAAGCTTTTAATATCCTTATCGATTCCTTTGGAATTAAAAAGCCTGTAAATGGGCTCCTGATAAATAGAGTGTCAAAAGATGAAAAGGTTGTGAAACAAAATGATACCTATGTAATTTAATAAATATATATATCAACATTCAAAGGTGTTACCTTCAAATATTTTTTTTTTTAAATCAACATGAACTTTCCAGACAACTCGATACTTTACCTAGGGTTAAATCGAGTATATGTTTTATCAACATACGATTCCAATTATTTACCAACTCACCTTATTCTCCCCGTTCCACGTTGTGTACTGCTTTAATTTTCTCGCTGGGAGCCGAAAGTTTCCCTTTATTCCGTTCTTGTTTTCGTACTTGCCAGTCTACCGTATGCTTCAGGATCCTGACCCTTGTCTGTCATGCTGTTTCGTTCTCTATATTCCGTTGTACTTTACAACATGTTACTCCGTGGTTGAGTTAGTTCGCCGGTCTTGTTTTATTCAATTTGCCTTACCTCCGTTCAACTGAATTCTCCTCTGTTATCCTCCGATATTCTCTAACTTTATCCCTGTTTCCCTAGTTCGTGTTTCTACCCTCCCTTTTGCCCTAGCAACATGACTTGCGTTTAATTGGTCGACCTGTAACCCATTTTGTTTTGCTTTTTGAATCCGGTAGTTTCATTTGCTCTCTAATTCTAATCCTTCTTCAAGAACGTTCTAACTTTATTAGCGGACCAGTAGTTTATCTTTTTATTTCGTGGATCCTGAAATGTGGCTCTCAGGAAGAAAATGATGAGTCCAGCTTCGCTATCATTCCTTGAAGATTAATGAACTTCGTACCTCTGTTGAATTCTCTGTACTCTATTTCACTCGCTGGTTCAATTAGTCTTCTTATTTCATTTGGAGTTCGTTTATGCTTATCTGTCAAACTGTGTTTTACTACGTCGCATATATTTAAATTTGTTTACTTTGGTAATTTTATATCCATCCTATTACTGGCTTAATATTTTCTACTCTATTCTTAATGTACTTTTTCGTCCCTATCTCTGTGTTTGAAATTTTTTCCCTGTCCCTTTTGGCCCAACAACATAGCTATCCTGGGTTGAAACGATGGGTTTATCTTAGCATATACTCTCTATGCCAAAATGCACAGCCTTGCACTCGCTAGGAAGTTGAGAGCGGCGAGGCGTTTTAGTTGGGAAGATCGTATAAACATCAAATTACTAGATACGTGTAGTTCGATGCTATCTATTTCATAGCATTACATTCGCCAAAGTATTCCATAGCAAACACTATACCAACAATATTACAAGGTTTTTTCCGCGAAAATTTAAATAAATTCTTCTCGCCTCTGTGAGAAAATTGTCTTCAATTTTGTTTAACCGCAACTTTTCATCCTCTGAACATTTTTATTATTTATGCCTTTATTTCTTTTGCGTAACATCATCAGCATCCACCTTTCTTCTCTTCTCTCTTCAAAAATTCCCAGCTGATAAAACCTCTCAAAAATTAGCAATACTATTTTTCTCTCGTCTTTCATTGGCACAGATCTCCGTGCAATTCTTATTTTCCAAATCGGCGTGAAATAAAAGAATAATACGCCATTGAGTTTATAGTCCAGCTCGTTCTCGTTCTTCGCGTGCAATATTGTTCATGGCGTTGGAAAAGTGATACTCGAACAATCGTAACCTACCGTTATCGATTGAACTCGTATCCCTGATGGTTTTTCTCGCTTCTTCTATAAACTTCTACTCTGTTCATTCGGTGGGTGTCCAGTTATTCCAATCTTGCAGCCACTTGAGATGGGCTGTCCCTCTTGGTTAATTATTATGCATTAAAAAATAACTTCAAAGTCCATGTGCAATTCGCATCAACCTGGGCGAAGTTGAGTATGTCGAAGGTCGACGGAACTTCTTCTAGTACCCTTGGCATGGTGGAAAAGTTTTCTAACGTATCCAATATGCAAAACGCGACGTTAAGTTATACAGAATATTTAATTAGACGCCTCTGAAGTCGTGGAAACCAGATCCTTCGAATTTCGATTTGTAACGTTTCGCACAACTCTAAAAAAGGATGGACGAAACAGTAAATCGGAAATGTGAAAATGGGATTTTTTTCCATGAGCTTTCGTTTTCGACATAACCGATTTAAACTGAAATTCGGTTTACCAGATTCTGTTACAAACGTCCGCCATGTTTGTACGCAACGTACGCGGTGTTCTGCAGATAAAAAGTTTCGTGTCAATATTGGTACGAGACTGCTTTTTTTTTTCAGGTGCCGAGGTTTGATCTTTCAAATGTTTGCCGTTAAAGATAATTTTCGTGTTCCGAACTAGGTTAACGAGACTTCTACTGTCCTCTGGTTTTGTTACCGAGGAAGGAGTTTATTTAAATTTATTCAATTGTCCATGGAGGACTAGAAGCAGAAAATTAATTCATGACTCTTATTATTTGAAATTAAAAGAATTCTGGGCTTCGAGTAGCGTATGACTGATATTTAAATATAAACACACTGTAGGTCCTGAATAATTAATGCAGGATAAATAAATTCATATTCAAACCGTGACTTCTACAAAATATAATAAAATACTTTAGAATAATAGCGAAAAGACCTCCTGTGATTCCCTGTACGCCTGAAAAAGAACTTGATTGCAAGACCACTGTTCTTACTTTCCAATCTTGAATCCCTCCCTAATCAACAAATCCCTAAAAATAATCGACACCCAGTACAGTGTGTCCAAATCGCGCGAGAATTTTGCATTGTATTTGCGCGCGACGTGTGCGCGTTTACATTTGCGTTTCACACAGAGAGACACGTCGCGCGACGAAATATCTGTTTCAGCTCGTTTCCTTTGTTATTCTGCTTTCGCGCGAATCGAGGTAAACAGAGCGCAAAACGTTCGACGCGATTGAAAAATTTTTGACGCGATTCACCGATCGATTTTCACACCTGCGAAAAGTTCGCGTTTATCTAAATGACGCTACGCTCTGCTCCGACGTTTTGTTAAAATCGTCCGTTAAATAAATCCATAGAGCTACCTTAAATAAAAAAAAAACCGATAGGAGTAATGTCTCTATGTTTCCTCCGTCGTTCGATTCGTGCTCGCTCGTCGATGCAATGAATTATCGCAGTGGCTGGGCGAACGGTTAATGCCTCCGAGGGTGGTTTCACGGTGCTCCTACCGGGGCTACTTTGTCTTGCAGAGGAAAGTACCTTGCGAGGGAAAACCGCGGAACCGTGGTCGAGTGTTCTCTTCATTTCTTTTCTAGGTGTAGAAGAGGTCGCCCAGAGATACTTTGAAGAACACTGGGAACCTCTCCACTTTCGAGGAATAAATTTCTAAGGAAGATTTCGATTTAAAAATTAATCGTTTGGCAACGTTATTTTGTTAGAATTGAATATAAAAGTGTAATTTCTATTCTCCGTCCCTTTCATTTAATATAACTCTAATACTCTTCCCTTTTAAATGTAATATTTACTCTTTCAGTCGTTTTTATCTCTGGCCACCTTCAGCAATAATTAGATGCATAATTCATCGACAGTAATAAGAAAAAGGAAAGTTATATTGAAAGGTAGTACGTACAAATATATTCAAAGGCGAGATATTGCATACCAGATTGGATTCCACTCTGTAACCACAATAAAAACCTGAAAAGTTGCTCTACCGGCTTCAAGAGTTATTGTAACAAACTCGTTGACAACTTTGCAGATAAATTATACGCTTCTACAGCACGGGGGTTATATTCTCGCGATTTTAAGAATTCATTCCTCGGAAACGGAAGGAAGGCGCTCTTTGCTACTTTCTGAAGTTGTCCAGGACCTCGTTCTTTACTTAGGAAGAATAAAATTAGTACGAAATTCGATGAGAATTTTAGTATTTAGCTAGAAGCATTTTAGTAACTTAACCCTTCAATGCCATGAGTTTCAAATTTGATACCGGACTTTTAAATCGAATTGTAAACTTGCAATTCGTTTGTTTTTAATATTTGGCTGTATGTATGTTACCATTGCATAATGTTCTTTGGAACAAAAGTTAAAGAAATAAACGTCAGCTGTCTAAATTGTTCAAATAATAAATACGTTGATAATTTTTTTCAATTTAATTTGGAAAATCAAGCTTCTAAGGGATAATTAATCAACGAATTTCAAACATGTAGATGTAATAAAAGATGTAAAACATGAGGAATATAATACGAAGTATACATAAATTATCTTTAACAAAACATAAATTTAAAAATAAATGTATTCATATTGAATGATTGGCCAACCGAATTCTCATTGAAAAGTCGATTTCTATCGCGGATTTCAAATAAATACTTATCGTCGAGCGACGGTATCGAACCTTGCATATTCTATTTACTCATTTATGCCAGATTACTGGAAAATTTATTACATTCGGAGAACGCAAATCGTTTATGACATACGGCAGATTGATTGAATTAATTACGTAAAGTTGACCAGGGAATACGTTAATTCGCGTATGTTTCGTTGGGACGATTTCGATTAATCGCTTGGAGAAATAATTGGAATTTCGAAATTAGGTCTTTGCTAAAATCTGTTCTAATCCTTTCCAAAGATAATTACAAACTTTCGTTAGTAAGCCGTTTTTAATCGATGTCGTTACAGAGGAACATCCGCCGCTCGGTTTCACAATTAGTATGGATATGGATTAGTGTAAAATTTATCGCAACTTGGGTGACATTAATGGTTTTCGAGACACGTCCGGTTGATGTAATAATTATATAGAATCCGGCGGTGAACTCGTCAAATTTTACACATTTCCATGGACGTTTTAATTAAATACTCAAAAAGTAATTGGAATATCGAAATACGAACTTTTCTGGAAACCTTATCGAAGCTATTTATTAAATATTGTGATTTTTATATCGAGAGGTTTTAAATTGATGCTGTTTTATATTAACACTAAAATCTCGTATCTCTTGTAGTTCCTCTATTGAAAATGATATTTTTATTATCCAGCGAACGAAGCAGCACATCGATTCATAAATATACATATACCTAGATCTGTATTTCGATAATTCTCACAAATCGTTGCAGTAGAACCTTGTCTACGATTCAGTAATTTTGGAAAGAAAAGATACATGGGTCAAAATGTTAATAAACTCAGTATTAATAAA